GATACCAATCGAATATATTTGTTAGAGACAAGAATTTTACTTTATCCAACCGCTTTATAGCGGTGGTACGATGTTACAAATATAGCCAATGATGTATAGTGATGTGCAGAACTATTACGTCTGGCGGGACTCGAACCCGCATTTCACTCTTTCTGGAGGCGCGTGCTCTAGTTCGTTGCATTATCCACGCCTGTTTTTCCACCACTCTTTCTACACTATAGCGCATCAATCTGACAGCCACTGCTGTAAAGCGATTAAATCAGGAATTACTGTTTTTAACACATATATCCAATTTATGTCAGCGTGACTGGGTCCAATGTCGATATCGACTACCAGACCAAACAGTTGACGGTTGGTTGCTGACAGATTGATGTGCTGTAATGTAGAAAGAGTGGCAGCATAACAGGCGTCGGTAGTGTAACAGATTAGAGAACATGCTCCTAGAAGAGGTGAAATACGGGTTGGAGCCCCAGCTGACGCAAAGTTTTGCACATCATCATTGGGTGTCAATTGAAAATTTCCTTCTTGAGTTATGACACAACTGGAGAATGTTTGGCTTCAATGAGAACCACTGATTAGTTTGTTTTCATACATGACTCCAAGCGTGATCCTTTCACGACCATGCGCATTGGGATCACTACATACGCTACTGTCACATTACGGACCGTACGTTTTTCAATGTGCCACGATATTCACCGGCCCACTGTCTTTCAGATTTCCGTGGTCAGGTTTTGTAGTCATTCAGTATCTTATCGAAGACAGACTTTGTACTGGGCAGGTTCGGGAATAGCTATTCTTATCGGGCCATAGCAACGAGATGTTGACTAGCGCGAGTACCACGTCGGATTTGTGGCTGCTTGAATGATAAGAGTTCAAAAATTAGGGATTCCTTACGCCATGAAAACGGTATGCCACTGAGGCTCATATAATGGTATTTCTCACATTCAGGATGTCCCCATTTGTCCTGAAAGTGCGCATTTTCCAATGAGAAAACCACCACATCCTCGGGAGAATATCACATTTTCTGTAGCTGAAGTTGTACACCTGTAACCTCGAAAAACATATTTTTACGATGCACGATTTTTAGAAGAACCTTCTATGGAGGTATTTCTAGCATGTAGATGGAGTTAGCGTAGAAAGTATAGGCATTCGTCAATTCAAAGAGCGCCTCTTCGGAAGAAATGCATATTTCAGGCCGGTTTCTTTGATCCTATTGACGTCATAAGCCTTTTAAACGCAAAGTGTTTATTCAACAGTCAACAACTCGTACAATCAGAGTCAATAATTCAAAATTCTTGGATAGAAATTGTACATCTGATAGATAATCAGCACTTAGTATGCTCTGAAGTAATCATCAGTTAGATCTTCTTCAAATAATCAGTATCCAGGGCCCTACACTGATCAACAGGTGAAATGTACAAAAATAACTGTCCGTGGGTTCTTTCCGGTTATAAAGGGAAATAAGGTGAAGAGACGTGTTGGTAATCATTCGAAAGCTTGAATCTCTCGCTACAGCCCCACGTGGCCGGTTCTCAAAAAACCCTTCTATAATGCTGTAAAGTTCAAAATAATACTGCGTTCACAAGCGCATATTTCTCGTCGATTAGAGCTCTTTCTTCAGACTTTCAGTAATCATTCGATAGCGTAATTTTTTTTGATTCCAACGCTATCCTGATTTTGTGGAAAAACCGTTTTTCTGCAGTGCAACAAGGAGGTATGGCATCCGCTAAAGCGCCAAACGATCGTTTGGTGGTGTGAAAACGGCCTCCCCTCGCCACCACTACCTCATGGAATAGCCAAAAACTTTTCCGCATACGCGTTTTAGGTGCTGCACTGCAGAGTAACGGTCTTTTCTGAAACTAAGAACAATATTGAAATCAGCAAACACTACGCTATCGACCGATTACTAATAGTCCAAATAAAAAGCTCTTTTTTGCCAGAAAAATGTGTGTGTGAAACACAAGGGGATTCCTTCTGTAGCAATCTCAAAAAAGACTTCTTCGAAGACCGGGCGCGTGGGGTCGTTGCTAGAAATCTAAGCTTTCGAATGACTACTGAAACTTCTTTGAAAAGTTTCTGCCCTGCGAATTAGGTCGTTTCCTCATCTTGTCCCCTTATAACCGAAAAGAACCGTCCGTGTTTATTGGTCCTTATCACTGATATTATGTTACACACAATCCTTAGGTAGTCGAATGTCTACCACGTTTAGATGGCTCGCACCTTTGATGAACAGTATTAAAGCAGTCTAAGCAAACAGCCTTCCTACATTGGCTACACCTCGTACGTATTCGCCTAGCGGTCTTCATCGCATATCTATAATCCCCATGAGCTCTCAATTTTTTGTAACACTCGACACAACGCCTCCATTTTGGTGGATCCGATATGATCTTCTCGAGTATGCGCCTAGTTGGCAGCTGCGGAACAGCGTCGTCTCCCAAGTACTTCAGGTACACATTCCATTTGAACTCGTTGAATTCAATCCTCCGCATGCAATCGCTGTAGATCCTCCAAGCGTTAACCATACATGTGTGCGTGACCAAGTGAAGGAGAAGACGTGTATACCTAAACTCCGGCAAAAATTACATATGTGAAAACTATGAAGGAATTAAAGTGTGCATACCATTTACGGCTGTTTCTCGTAAAGCATGGAGAATAATCGGCCATTCGATCCATAAGGTCCATGGACGACTTTCGCTTCTCGTAACTTCCAATCACTTCCGGTGTCGATGTGTTTGGAATGAGGGACGCGTCATACGCTGTGGATAAGATTATAATATTTTTCTTATCCTTCAATTTGAGCACCATAACGCCATTTGCATTCTGCTTGGCTATCCATTCCCCTCTGCTCAGTCTCCGTTGGATGATGTTCTTAGGAAGACCAAATCTGTTTTTCTTGCACATACCAGTCAAGTACGTATTCCTCTGTGAAAGACTCTCAGCTAGAGAGACACTTGTGTACCATTTATCAGTATAGACATGTCTAGCTTCATCTAGTAAATTATCCATAAGTGTCATCACCACTTTCTCAGCCAGGCTCGCTGTCCGATTGAGATCTTTGTCTGCATACGCCAACATCTTAAAAGTGTAGCCCTGTTCGCTGCATAATTTGAAGAGTTTCAATCCATATCTCAGCCTTCTGTGGGGAACACATTGCCGCAATAGAACTCTTCCTTTGAATGACATCGGCTTGTTAATGTATACCTCCTTGCCAGGTCTACATACAGCCTTGCAATTCCTATTGATGAGGTCTATCAGTCGGCTAATCTTGAATAATCCATCACTTCCATCGTAATTCGAATTATCTGCTAGATGCAGGTGAGCTAAAATCTTTTCGAATCTCTCCCTAGACATTACATCCGGTCCAATAGGATATTTTCCAAAAGCCGGATTGTGGCTCCAGTAATCTCTTACGCGTGGCAATCGGACAATACCCATTTGAAGACACAAACCAATGAATTTTTTCATTTCTTCGACAGTTAGCGGTTCCCATACAGAACTCTTCTGATATGCATAAGTGTTCGTCTCTTTTACAACCAATTCCCATACGTCGACCATGAACAATTCGTAGAAATCGACTGGATCCTTGCACGTGAGCATGATATCGCCTTGAAATCCTAACCAGCTCTCATCTTTGACGGGTGAACTTTCACGAGTCGCTATCACGCTTGACCAACCACCATCCATGTCATCATCATCGCAGCCATCTTGTTCTTGCTCATCGTCGGATTCACTGCTGTCCGAATAATCAGATTGGAGAGGTACGAATGAGTCCATGTTGTCATCCGCATCATCATCAAGGTCTTCACAATCACTGTTGGCAAGGAGTTTCTCGAACAAAGGCTCGAAACCATCATTCACTATTGACATGACGTCACTGAAATTTAATCTCTCTATCAAGTGAAGGCGGAGTCTCAAGTTGTGGTCAACGGAATACTGAGATAAAACATGAAAAAAAAGACGTACAAGGAATTTGAACAGAACAAAAACGATCTCGGAAATCTCAGAGAAATTCCGGAAAATATCGGAAGTGAACGGGGAACGGCCGTAAAACGAATAGACAGTGTAAGCAGAGCGGTGAAGTGGCGACTACCGTAGAACGTGATAGACTGTCTGGTCTCTTGTAATCACGCCCTTATGGTAGCTCATGGTCATCTCATAGAACGCAAAGATATACGGAAATATTAGATCTCAGAAACGATAAAACAAAGTCTTTATTATAACTCTATAGAAGTCCTAACTCTTTAAGTGTTCTAATCATTGGGAATTCGTCGAGAGCTGCCGAAAGATCGGCATCAAATGCAAGATCCATCGCAATTTTTACCGCGTAATTCGTTGATTATGAGCGCATCTGGTGCAGTGGTTAGAGGTGCCTTGCGTCGCACACAAGGTCAGTGTTTCGATCTCGCGCTCATGGCTCACCAAGCCATCCATCGCTCTGGGGTCGGTAAATTAGTATCCGTCTCAGACTTGTCTGGGAGGATAAGCAGCATTGACTCGGTACACCGGTAGGCCACCGCGAGTCATCCACTGTAAAGGCCAGATATGCATTCGATTACCTCAAACGAAGTTGAAAACTGGAGACGAATGCATGACGCATCCTTCAAGCATTGATCAACTCCAAGAGCTTTATCTTTTATTCTTTTCTAATTCGTTGATTCCTAAATTTTCCAATTCTACAACGTCTCTTAGATGTTATTGGAATGTACCTAAGAGAATTGAGCGGGAAGCAAAAATCTGACCTCAGGCGGACGTTGAACCTGCATTTCACCCCTCGCCGGCGACGCGTGCTACCACTACACCACAGAGACACCATTTCGCTACCTCCAATTTTTCAACGCCTCTGTCATAGTATCAGCCCACCAACCGTTAACTGGTTTGGTCGAGTAGTATCCCCTTATAAACCCAATTAAGCTGACAGCCATTGTAATATGTAGTACTCGAAATATCTTGTGTTTCTAATGCCTTCTCGCAGTCTTTGATGTTATGCAGCATGAAACGGTGCCTCGCTGGTGTAGTGGTAGCACGCGCCCTCAAACGGGTGAGACGCGGGTTCGACTCCCGCCTGAGGTCGGTTTTTTGCCTTCCCCGCAATTCTCTTAGGTACATTTGGAATATTATGATACTGTGAAAAAGCAGTAAAATGACAAGAAATTTGTTTTGAATGAGAAAATATTAGAACCATGAGGTCAACATAACAAGATGCATTGTAAACAACGCACAACCTGATTAAGTGCGCTACAATGCAGACGCTATACTGTACGCATCTGACCTAGACCAGACGACCACTCGGCCTAGAGCCCATATTGAATTGAGTGGGCTTCAGGTGGTTTTTTATAGTAGTAGGCATATTTATCCGAATGCTAATAGGCAGAGATAACCGAATGAGATGAGATGGGAGCAAAAATGGCTTTTTCTACAATTACCCCATGACATACATAGCATGTTCGATGAGAGCGCGATATCTACGCGTATCGATTTCAGTACACATTTTCGTGACAGCCGAAAAATGCTCTGCCCAATGGGTTTTTTTGAGACAACTGCTGCACTGTTCAGTTGCCAAAAGCGAAAAAGAAGAAAATATAAGTTTCGAGCTGCGACCGCGTCCACTTGACTGGCGTAATCGGAAGACTGCTAAATGGCCCATGTGCGCTATAGTGTACATACTGTACGTTGAAAAAGCTTCAAAAGCTCTCGCTGTTGTTCAATCCTTGAGGAATACGCCATGTATTCGTCTTCAATTTTTAACTTCGTTCAAGATGACTGAAAGCATATCTGACTTTTACAATGACTCGCAGTGGTCTATCAAGTCAGTGAGGCTATTCCCACAGACAAGTCTGGTGCCAGTTCACTGACCCCTAAGGGATAGAAGACTCAAAGAGCTTTCGAGGGCAAAGGAGAACTCGCACATTTCCCGTCATCCCTTAGGTTTTCATTGCAAGTGGTAAAAACCCAGTAAGACTATTAATGAGTTGACTACCGTAGTTTGCCGAACCAAATAGGTGAAATCGGTGACTGACTACTCTGGGTGCTTTCAACTATTAGCCGTGATGGAACAAGGAACAAGAGACTGTAAGAAACAAGTCCATTTTCGAGGGAACCCCTTCACAATCATTGTCCTACTTCCTCAGTATTTCAACTTCGACCCTAAGCACTTTTGGTGAAACAGTGTCCACATTCAACCATAGGTTGTAGATCATACACAAATGCTCCTCTGATGTCAAGTCGACCCAACCAACAAAATGGATCTTTTGCGATATTTTCTATTCGTCACTGTTCAACTTATTCCTAAGAAACCCCTAAATTAGACAATGAGAGGGCCAAACTAGCGAAATCCGCACTCTAACGCTAGCTACGATGCAAAGTGAAAATAATAAAAATGATGAGAAGCTCTCATAAATTATTCCAAGCATTCTTCAACAAACAGTATTCAGATCGCTTTTGAAATAACTACATTGTTCAGCTGCAAATTACTTCGTCTTTTATACAAGCACTTCAAATTGACATACAAATACCAATAAAAAAAATCTTTCACGATTATAACACTCAGATATTGAACAACGTTTGAAACAACCACGATGAAAACTTGACAAAGTTCTTTTCGTGTGATGAAAAACGACAGGACGTTCTATTTGTAGCGACATAGAACAATGAAATTAAATTTATTGACTCACTAGTAAAGTCAAGAAAACAGGCATTTTAGCTTTCGAATTCGAACACCGTAGAGAAAAATTGAGTTTCAAAGTAACGACTGAAGAGAAACATGGTGAAAAGCAACTTTTCTAGAACAAACATCTTGAATTATTATCGCTTATATACTTTTTCGTACAAATAATCTTCATCATACAATGTACAGAGATACTCTCAGGTTGACATGCGGAGCAGAAAGTGAGACTCTCTTCACTCTTGATAGAATCGCTTCATCATATTTCAAGATTTCATCAGCTGCATGATATCAAGACTCAAATAACAAGGACGGAGCAGATTTTGATATCTACATGGTCACAAAGCGAACTGAATCAATCATTCGGATCGCACTCTATAGTGGTAGAAACCCATAGCGCTTCGAGAAATATTCCATCCCGCAGTGATCGTGGCAACCCATAGGATGAATAAAAACGTCATCGGATAGAGAAAATAGTGTGTACGATGTAGGATTGGCAATGCTGAAGAGAAATATTGAACCGAAAACAACGTAGAAAGGAATGAATCTCAAAGTTAAATATTTCTGATTTTTTTTTTCTTCAGTAAACAAACCTGTATAACCGAGAAACGTGATATAAACATAATAAACTGCTGCAAGAAACCAAATCGTATTTCCAAGTGCAGTTGGCAGAAAGAAGGGAGAATCGACCACGGCTAAAGTCAGATTCTAACTGATCATTCAAAAAGTTGATGGCACAATTATTTTATCTTGTCTTAGTTTAGAGGTTTCAAATCCTTAACGACAACACATATTCATGCTCAATGAGTAACACGCCGGCTGGAGATAATCTTACTCTTCCAAACAATCTAAATAACTCGCATGAACATCTTAATCATAGCCTGCCCTGCTGCCTTTCTGAGATCAAGTCATGAGAAATCTACTTATAGAAATTATCTCCAATTATCAAAAACTCGCCCGTCAACGGGATGGAAGACTTCTAAGGTGTCTGTTCTACGCAAACACATACATGAGCCTCATAGCAATCCCTTATTGCATAGATAAAGTAGCACAGAGATCTATATGTATACGAGTATTCCATGCTTCTAGTAGAGAGGCAATCATGCACATGGATCGTTATTCCTATTTACATCCTACTATCAACAAGGAACAGTAGGCAGTTGCTGTTAATATGTGAAAGCTTGAAAATTCAAAATATTTTTGTGCATCCATAAAGGATAAAGCAAGTACTGGTTGAGGTTTTGAGGAAATTGAATGAATAAATGGCGTTTACAATGACTCGCAGTTACCTAACGATGTGTCAGGTTAGTGTCGCTATCATCTCACACAAGTCTGGTTACAATTTGTCGAGCCGCGAAAGATATAAAGCTTGGTGAGCCCTAGGCGCTAATCGAGCAAACGTCCGCTAACTGATCGACCAGTGTGCATCGCAGAGTATCTCTTCCACTGCGCCACACGCGCTCACTGTGCGGCCATATGGCCCCTTATCTAATTACTAGTTATCCACTTACTTGGATAGATAATTGGAAGGAGTACATGGAGAAGAATCAACATAGGAAAGAAAGCGTTGAGATGTACATCGAAACAATAGCCCCATTCCACATCTTGGTCTTGTACCTTGCGAAGGAATCTATTAGACAACCACCTGAAACCACTTTCCGTGTTACGAGTCATGCACAGTAAAACAAAATAATTTGTAAAGCGTATCTCTCGCGATATTGCCGTAATTCTCACCATAAAATCGTTGCGACTAATAATCCTACACCAATACAGTCAACAAATACAACCCAAAGAAAGAACTTGACGAATCCCCAAGTAGTTAAGCCAAGAGCTACAGCATAAAATACGGAAGAAAATAAGAGAGCCAACGATAATAGCACCAAGAATGCTGGGTCGTCACGAGCAAACTGATCTTTTGTGCCTGAACATGACTTTTAGCAACGTTTTACAAGCAACAAAACGAAAAAGCGCAGGTGTTATATAGACAATATGCACAAACTTACGTTTCCTGTATATAAAATTTCGGTAAACTTTTTGTGGTTGAATCAGCAGATAGAGCATTTGCCAAGAAGCAAATTCGAAATCCATCTGGAACGAAAATACAGCTGCCATTGCTACTAAGATTTTCCACTCATGATGATGCACTTTCGATGGGTGAATTTGAGATTTATCAGAACTCACCAACCCTAACAAAGATGATTTTTTTCCTGAATTTCATTACAATACAATAAAATATGATAATCCTAAGAGGAACGTCTCTCGGAATAAAACTAGTGACTAAACTTAGTCTGAATTGAAAAAGTCCACTTAGACATATCTGTTACGACTGCTGTAATTACAAGAAATTAGCTAATTTTTGTACCAGCACGTTAAGATTATTCGCATCGCCCGCTTTTATTGATAGAAAACTGACTACTATGCGCTTAGACGATTTAAACCAGAAACAAATTCAATTTCGTTATTGGTAGGCTTTTCAAAAAAAAAAAAGGAAACAAAGGAGGTACAGACAAGGACGAGGATCCCTGTTAAACACGTTTGCGAGATTGCGAATTGGAAACCAATGTAAATGCGAGAGGTCGAATGTGGATGGTTGGACCGCCTAGAAAAACTATCGCATCCTCGATAGCAGAAAGCTCTAGTGCGTCAAAGTCGTCGCTTCGATTCACGGAAACTCTAGTTCTTATGAAAAGTTCATGTCTCATTTTTGGAATCTGACTGTGAGCGGGTTGAAAAAATAAGGACATGGAAAAGACTGTTCACTTGTGCTGATAAATGTTGAAGTGATGAAGACACCACTTAGTTTCCATTTCCTCGGAGTGAAAAGTGAGAGGCTCAGGGATGGCCGACGTGTTACTGGAAACACAGTAACAGCACATTGTGATATGTCATTGATAATCCAATAATTGTACCCAATGATGTTAGTGATGTGCAAAACTTTGACGTCAGACGGAAATCGAACCCGAAATTCACCTTCCGCGGCGCGTACTAACCAGCTGCTTTATAGAGGTCTGTTTTACCAGCACTCTTTCCACACTACAACGCATCAACCTGTCAGCAACCAATCATCAACGATTTGACCTGGCAATCCATATCGGCACTGGTCCCAGTTACGTTGACAGGTAGTGGATACACAGATTAATAAGAACGTTTTGCTATTTGACCGCTTTTTTCATAGCTCCGCAAAAAAGCGGGCAAACAAAAAAGAATAAAATAGACTATTACAAGTAGAGATTAAGCTAATTCCATGGTTTAGAGATTAGCTCTATATACGCGGGACAAAGATAGGCAACAGGTATGCAAGAGTTCGATTGGCTGTTACATTGCTCATACGAAAAACATATTCAATCTAGACGAGCAGAAGAGTAAGAAAAGGCTCCGCAGGCACGTCATAAAAGAGAATTTGAAATGA